TCTTTTATGTGAGGAAGTGAAAGGATGGGAAAGTAAGTCCTGAAGGCCTTTGTCCCACACTTTGGTTTAGCAGTTCATCAGCTGAAGGGGGCTTGGGGAAAGAAGGGCCCAGTAGTGTAGCTACCTGCGCCATTCTGCTACTGTGAGGGTTAGGCTGGTTATAGCTGGAGGACTGCTGAAGAGCAAGTGTACATACGATCTAAAGCCCTGCATGACAGGTCCCCACAGCGCTTGACATAATGTTTAGGAAGTAGGGTGAGGTGGCATGGGAAAGAGATCTTAACTGTGGCTGTGACCATGGGAGAAGCCAGAGAATTATACAGGGAATGCCTTAAAAAAGTAACAAGCAGTCTCATAAACTTTATCAGTGAGCAAACTTGTGACATATTTTGTTGTTGTTAAGATGAGCCTATTTTTATAATACCTCCTTCATGCTCATACCCCAGCTTCTACTGAAAGACGTGAGGTATAAACGGGAAAATGTCTTATATTCCCTAAAAACCTGAAAACTACTTTAGGGAGCACCTTATTTGTTACTTTTCTGTACCTGGTTTATATGTAACATTTCTAATATCTATTTACTGCAGATAAACTAATACAACATTTAATCATTTTGTACAAGCAGGATGAAGTAGTAAAACACCCTGAAAAGTGGCCTAGTGGAAGGAATGCTACGTTTTGTTAAAGTGCTTCCTTTGAGGGGACGTCCTATTGAGAAATGGTAATCCACATGGTGTTGGTGTCTTGCAGAGACGGGTGACCAAAAGGGAAGTAATGGCTGTAACTCAAGACCACGTGGTACCAAACACACAAACTCTCACAGTGCTGCTTACTGATAAGAAACACCATGCCATTTTGGGGGGGGGGGGTTGATCTGTTAGGTTTGTAATTTATGTAGTATTCTCCTGTTACTATAGATATTTTCTGTATTTGTAGATGCTTTTCTCAAGTTACAGGATATAGGTGGTAGCAGTAGGGCTACAGGCAAAATGCGGAAATAGTGGCACATGCTTTACTAACAACAGCAAGTAAAAGCAGATCTTAACGTGAAGATGTTTTCCAGAGTTCCCAGATTACTCTTTCAGATTAAGCCAATATAATAAGAGTTTTTCATTTGCAGGTGTCCCCCACACCCCTGAAAAAGACATATAAACAACTAAAACTAGCCTTATGCAGTAAAAGAGGTTATAGGCTGACATGCCTAAGTGTCTGCCTTTGTGGGATGGGCGTCAGTGAAGGGTGCCGCAGGTGTTGGGGCTGGACGTGGACCTCGCGCCCTTTCTTCAGTCTGCTTTCGTGGCACCAGTTTTAGCCACAGGTGCTCGAGGCTCTCTTCTTATGGTAGTCAAATAAAAGATGTACTTCTGGACTTTACATCTTCACAGCACACGCTCCAGAATTTCCTTAGAAATCTGGGATTTGCTTTAATTAGATCAAGTTGGTTCATGTTCTATCCCAATTTGTGGCCTATTGAATCAGACATGCAGTCACCTGGTGAGGGACAGGGAGCTATATTACCTGTGGTCAAGAACAGGGTAAAGGGACTTTCCAAGGGAAAAGTTTTGTTTCTTTTGTTGGGAAAAGAGGCTGGGGACTGAGGGGACAACCAGCAGATCATAAATGGCAGTGGTAAATGGCCACTGCAAGGTTCACCCACCACAGTTCATGTGTAATCTTCTTTTTTTAAAAAAATAAGACACAGAGTCTCACTTTGTCGCCCACGGTAGAGTGCTGTGGCATCACACAGCTCACAGCAACCTCCAGCTCTTGGACTTGGGCAATTCTTTTGCCTCAGCCTCCCGAGTAGCTGGGACTACAGGTGCCCGCCACAATGCCCGGCTATTTTTTGTTGCAGTTTGGCTGGGGATGGGTTTGAACCTGCCACCCTTGGTATATGGTGCTGGCAACCTACCCACTGAGCCACAGGCGCTGCCCTGCGTGTAATCTTTTTATATGACTATGTTCTCTCTGGGATCTCTTTATTTCTTGATCTAATTTATATCAAATATTCCTTTTGTAAAAACACTTTAGAACATTTTTGTATAGGTGGTTGAATCAGTTGTGTGTCAAATGAAATCTCAGTTCAGTTAAAATGTAAGGATTTTATTGACGGAAGACTTTTATTTGTGGCCACAAGCCACTTTGTTAGATTTCTGCATTCCAAATGTTGCAGAACATCTGTTGACATGTTTGATTCTATACCCAGGCGTGTTTTCTTTTCATTGTTGGTCTAGCAGTATGAAAACTTTGTGGCTTTGTATCTCTTAAAATGAGAAAGCATTTGTCGGGGGCCTGTTGCCCTTTCTTGCTGAGGCAGAAGCCCTCAGCTCGCCTCATCCTTAGCTTCCCTTTCTCAACCACCAGGCTAAGGTTACTGTCTTTCCCACTGTGGGCCCCTGAGTGCAGGAGGACCCGCAGTATAACTTTACCTGCAGAAGGACCGGGGAGTGTTCCCTGTTGCCCATCTGCACTCATGCTGGTGATCCCTGGGAAGTTAGAGTTAAGTCACTTTGCTTTTAGTTGTTACTCTGGACTTGAAAGTTCTAACATGGTGTAAGTGTCACTTACCTGTTGCTGCACAATGCCCGTATCTGCACCACATGTCTGCTGAAAAATTGCGATTTCCCTTTATGTGTGTGCTTTATAAAACAACTCTTTCAAAGGCCTTCCTTGACTTTACTCATTTTTCCTTTTTGACTTTGCTTTTTCTCTTATAGCCCAGTAGGGGGCATTGAAACGCCCAGTATTTTACCTGTTTGTCCGGGCAATGGCAGTTGTGAAGACCAAACACAGTCAGCTCATTTTTGAAATGTATTTAGGCAGTTACAGCAAGCATAGTTCCCCAAATGTGCTCAGGGATGTTGTTATTCTTCTTTTCAAGAAAGAATATTTCAGCCAGAGTTGAAAACAGCGGGCTGTTAGTAGGGGTAGAGAGTAGATATTGAGGGCGAAAATTTTCCTAGCTTTTCCTCAATTTAGATTGTGTTGTATGAGTTTTGCATAAACTATATCATAATGGCCTAGAGCATATAAAATACTTACTTTGAGAAATCACTGACAAAAATTTTGAATTTTGTACGTAACTATCTTCCTTGTGTTAGCATGCTTAATAGGAGGAATTAAAGCAACAACTATGTCTTGACTGTGAGGAAGTCTGGTAATGTTTCCTCAAGTATTGATTGATAAGAAAAAAAATGCCAGTAGTACAAATAATTTCTTTTTTCCCTTTTTATTTCAGATTAATATGAGGTTCCATATGATTAAGTTACATTGCATTTGTAAGGTAAAGTCTAAGTTGCAGCTGAGTCCTTCAACCAGGACTGGGCATATATGTGCCACATACCCCTACATTGAACCCATCAGGTGGGGACCTACTGAACTCTTCCCCCCACACACTTTTTGAATTTAATTGTGTTTTTCTCTTGTGTGGGCCTGTAGTTATTGATCTACTAGTTTCAACATAGCACTGAGTACATGAGATGCTTCTTTTTCCATTCTTGAGATACTTAGGAAAATGTTCTCCAAATCCATCCAGGTAAATACAAAAGATGCAAAGTCTCGTGCCCATCAATTCATGAATGGATTAATAAACTGTGGTATATGTATACCATGGACTACTATTCAGCCATGATTTCGTTAATTAGTACATATACAGTAAAGCATGAAAGAGATATAAAAATTACATGGAGAATGCATGGCAGAACATTTGAAAGATGGACTGAATATATTTTAGCCTGTTAAGAGAATATAGTTTTGATGACTTTTCAACCACTGATCATGTCCCATATTACATTAAATTTATCTGTTTCCTAGAAAATGTGATTTGTGAATTTTTATTTTAGGTATAATTTTATATTCATTATTATACATTTTAGATTTAAAAAAGTCAAGTCCATTTGCTTTCTAGGAAAATTGTTGTGTTGCTGAACCCAGGAAGAAAATAATAGTAGATGTTCTAAGATGTGTGTTTTTTCCCTAGTCATCTTATTTATTTATTTAAATTTTTTTTGAGAAAAAAATAAATAAAAGTCTCATTATATCACCCTCGGTGGAATGCCATGGCATCACAGCTCACAGCAACCTCAAACTCTTGGGCTTACATGATTCTCTTGCCTCAGCCTCCGAAGTAGCTGGGACTACAGGTGTCTGCTACAACACCCGGCTATTTCTTTTTGTTGCGGTTGTCATTGTTGTTTAGCTGGCCCAGGCCAAGTTTGAACCTGCCAGCCTTGGTGTATGTGACTGGTACTGTAACCACTGTGCTTTGGGAGCTGAGACATCTTATTTTTTCCTCATGTTATTGAACACAGGAATTTGCTGTTAACATATGCCAATATCTGGTTTCAGTAGAGTCTAGTTTTTTAATACGAGGACTCTGGGCTTGTAAAAGGGCTTCATAAGTCTCTGTATAAAATATATTTAGCATGTACCTAATATCCTTTAGGTGTTCTCAGAAAAAAAATTATAATTTATTGCAAAGTACATAATTTATATCTGTTTTCTTTTGCAGTGCTCTGAGATAAATCAGTAAGAGATTTCTTAAGTTATTTTCTGGATACCTGTTTATCCTGCTTCTTTAAAGTCGGAGAAACTTGATACTTTTTACTCCATTTGTAAGTTGATTTTTAAGGACCCTGTTGGAAAAAATTACATACTAGAATTGATTCTTATGTTTAGTGAAAGAAGATGCCCATGTGAGTTATCTTTAAGTACTTCTAATTGTCTTTATTTACTAATTAAAGTTCTACATTGACTGACCAGACTAGTGATTACAATGTTAAACCTATTTGTATGGAACAGGAGTGAACAGTTGTATGTAGTTTTTTTTTATTAACAGGAAAAAAAAGAAGCCAGTAAGAAGAGAGAAATCCACTGATGGGTATTTCTTTCTTCAATGTTACAGAAAAGCACAGTAACTTAGATTTGAATTTTATGAAAGTACTGAATTCGCCAGTAATGCTGGAGATGATGCCTCCAACTAACAAGTTTCTCATCCTCCCTCACATGTCATTAGCGATGACAACACGTGGCACAAAGGACTTTATTTGAAAGGGGACAGGAATTCACAAAGTATCTGTGCTTTCATATGTTGTATTTCCTCTTTTGGTTTTAGAAGTGTCTAGGCCATTCTGAGCTTTTAGTGGAATATGCAATTTCTTACATAAGATTTCCCTAAATGGCTGGCACAGAAAGAAATAAATAATGGGGTCCAGACACACATTTGCAGCGGATAGTAGCAGAGTGAATTCTTTCACGTAGCGCAAGATCTCTTTTGCCTGGCAGCCGTAACGGTCTTCCGTCTGACTCTGTGTGTAGGGGATCCTGGCAATGTGGTAAGGTACGAAACAGATGAAAAACACAAACACGATGCTGAATATATTGCGACTCGACTTCTTTTTGACGGAAGTGGAATTCTTCCTGGACTTAAGGTGGGATTTAAAGATTTTCCTCGTGATAGCCGTATAGAAAATGATTAACAGAAGAAACACAATCCAGAAGACGCTCACGCTGATGTAGTTGGATACCTTGTGCCACTTCTGCCCTAGTTCGTTCTTGAGTTCCATGCATTTTATGTGCGTCACCTCCTTAACACTCTGGTTGGTCAGGATGATGTTCGGGATGGCAAGAAGCAGCATGAGCAGCCATGTGGTCACGGACAGGAATTTGCTGTAACTCACAGACTGGATGAACGACGTCGAAAGGGGCTTTACGATTTTATAGTATCTGTCAAAGCTGATGAGCCCAAAGAACACAATGCTGACATACATGTTAACGTAGAAGAGCACGGCGGAGACCCTGCACACAAACACGGTCAGCTGCCAGGGGCCTAAGCCCGAGTCGGCCAGGATCTTGAAAGGAAACGTCAGGCCCATCAGAAAGTCTGCAACGACAATGTTCTTGAGATAGACGATGAAACTCTTAGAGCTGGGCACGTAGAAGAATACCCATCCCGACACTCCATTGAGGAGGATCCCTGCAACGAAAACCACGAAGTACAGCCCAGGAATGATTTGCTGGGTGATCAGGGTGTTCTGGGAGCAGGTCTCTTCTGGAGGTTTGGTGGTGGTTGAATTCATCATCTTGTAACTTCTGACGGCAGAGATCTGAAAAGAGATGTGTGAGTAAGGACACGTCCGGCCTCCAGGTCATTTACGAAGTTTTAATAAAGCCAAGGCCTGTGAACATGGGCAAACCCAGTGAGTTCTTGAAACTAAGCCTTTTACTCTGTATAAATTAGGCACTTCTCTCTCCTTCCCTCTTCCTCCCCCTCTTCTTTCTTTTTTCTTTTTTTTTTTGCAATGAACAGAGAAGAATGGAGCAGACAGACAGCAGTAATGAAAAACTAGAGAAGGGCAGTTTGTGAACTTTTAGGTCATGTGCAGACCTGCATTTCTTCAGAATGATGATGGTTCCCTGTAAAATTCCAGTGTTCTAGCAAATATTATTATTATTACTATTTAAGAGACAGAGTCTCACTTTGTTGCCCTTCGCAGAGTGCCATGGAATCACAGTTCACAGCAACCTCCAGCTCTTGGGCTTTTGCGATTCTCTTGCCTCAGCCTTCTGAGTAACTGGGACTACAGGCACCTGCCACTATGCCCGGCTATTTTTTTGTTGCAGTTTTGACTGGGGCTGGGTTTGAACCGTCCACCCTCGGTTTATGGGGCTGGCACCCTACTCACTGAGGCACAGGTGCTGTCCACTGAGTGACAGGCGCTACCCTTTCTAAGAACTATTGCTTTAAATATAGTCTTAAAAAGTAGTAACTGTAAAAGCAGAATGAATGTTTCATTTTATTTAGAACTCAGTTTAATGTAGTGTTTTTACTGGTGTTGAAAGTGTGATTTTTATTTTATTAAAGATAAATTTTTGTGGGTTCATAAAAATGAGTCTAAATGTTAACTTAGAAATGGCGTGTCACCAGTTTAGGATGGAAGGGGTTGAGACTTGCTGGGTGGGGGAAAGCAGGCTGTCTTTGCTGCCTGTGCTGTCTGTTTTGGTATGACGGCGGCTCACACTAGGACACATCTCTTCACATTTTTTTTTTTTTTAAGACAGTCTTACTCTGTCATCCTGGGTATAGTACCATGGTGTCACTTAGCTCACAGCAACCTCAGACTCTTACGCTCAAGAGTTCCTCTTGTCATAGCCTCCCAAGTAGGTGGAACTATAGGCACCTGTCACAATGCCCGGCTAGGTTTTCTGTTTTTGGTAGAGACAGGATATCGCTCTTGCTTGGGCTGGTCTTAAATTCCTGAGGTCAGGAGATCCGCCTGTTTTGGCTTCCCAGAATATTTTTTCATCTTAAAAGAGTAATCTAAATGAGTAATGAGGTAACGATAAATTCCAGGACACTCTTAGTAGTGATTTTTCAGCTCTTTTTTTTTTTTTGTAAGCGTGGCTTTGATGGTAAGGGCACTCTGTCCTGTGGGTTCTGCTTCTCAGTGAGCACCAGCCTTTTCTACAGGGCAGATCAGATCAGTAATGGATTGAGAGCACTCTTAAGGCAAGTGAGGCCAAAAGGCAGCAATATTTATGTGATGAAAAGCAGGACAAAATCCTAAAAAAGATAGGTATTATTTTGTCCTTGTAATATCTACTCAGTCTCCTCACCTAATCTTTAGCATTGAGATGATTTACTGTCCTGATAAAGAGACCTATGTAAACTTTAAATACCTCCACGAATGGTGGAAATAGTCACATCCTGATGTTGATTTCATACGATAATGCACAGACCAAATGGATCAGAAAGAAAGTAGAATCTCTTGGCGTGGCCCTGCCTCCATCTCTTCCCTGCCCTGTGTTCTCACTCATTTTCTAATATGTTTTAACCAGTTTATGCCAGTACCTTAAAGGCAAGGGATATCCCACAGGAGAAGTAATAACCGATGAAAAGGACTTTGGGATGATGATTAATTAAAAAGCTGAGGAAGTGAGCATTCCGGTGAGCCAGTGTGTCAGTGTCCGTCACGTCTCACTAACCAAAGAACTTTGTTTTTCTTTTCTTTTTTAGAAATAGGGGGGCCTCTCACTATGTTGTTCAGGCTAGTCTCGAGTACCTGGGCCTTAACCTGTCCTGATCCTCCTGTCTCAACCTCTGGAGTAGCTGGGATTATAGGGAGGAGCTGCACCACCCAGCTAAAAAGTTCGTTTATTTATTTATTTAGGTAGAGTCTCAAGCTGGGTGGAGTGCCGTGGAGTCACAGCTCACAGCAACCTCAAACTCTTGGGTTTAAGCGATTCTCTTGCCTCAGCCTCTGAAGTAGCTGGGACTATAGGTGCCCACCACGATGCCCGGCTATTTTGTTGTTGTTGTTGCAGTTATTGTTGTTTTTTTAGCTGGCCTGGGCTGGGTTCGAACCTGCCAGCCTTGGTGTATGTAACTGGCACCCTACCCACTGAGCTACGGGTGCCACCCCCAGCTAAACTTTAAAACAGGTTACCTTATACTATAAGTCTTCAGCTTCTCTTAGGTGGAACTCTCTGTTGTTTCACAAGTCTAGATATTTAAGAATAGTACGGTATGAAATGTTTTTAGCTTTTATCTAGCATCACGTTGGAGTATTTGACAACATAATTAAAGAACATGGTAGAATGGGATTCATGAGGCCTGAAGACAGCCATGAGACCTGACAATTAAGATCACAAACTCATCCTTGAAAAAGTTCCACATACTTCATTGCTGAATATCCCTATGGTCACGTTGGAGTTATCTCCCTTGAGAAGCTATGCACCAACACTGGTACATAGTCCACCCTTCAGACCAATTTTGGAACTCTTTTTCTGGAATGGAGCTGGTGTAGTACAAGGTCTGACAGTTACATTCTTGAACTAATCCTACAAGACTGCTAAATACCTCATTGCTAAATATCACCTGGTCACCGGATGCACAAGGGGAGTGTTTAAAAAGTGACTGTAGTGATATTCAGCAATGAGGCATGTAGCACTTTTTCTAGGATGTGGTTGTGAACTTTTTCCAACTGTGAATTACTTTGTAATAGGAACATCATGTCAAGTGCTTTTCCTCAGTATTTTTTTTTTTTTTTTTTTTTTGCACAGCTAAAAAGAACGTTGATGCCCAAGATTCGCTCTGATCTAGATAGTGCTCTCGTCTTGGTGCCATCTAAGGTCTTCGGATGAAGGTTTTTGAGGTGTTGGTATTAGATAAAACCTAAGGGCTCTGTCTGTCTACAAAATTTGATACAGGGGTGTACAAAGCAGAGCTCAGCCCCCAAATTCATTCATCTTAATATAAGTACTATTGGCTGGCTCTGAGTTCTTACTCATCTTCTGTGTAGTTACATTCTGTGACCCATTTTTCTCTTATATGTGGACCACCTACCATCATCCTTACTGTGCACCAGAATTCTTTCTCTGAAGAGTTATTGCCCTTTTATAACATTTTGATGAAATTAACAAAGTCTCTCTCTCTCTCTTTCTCTTTTTTTTGAGACAAAGTCTCAAGCTGTTGCCCTGTGTAGAGTGCTGTGGCATCATAGCTCACAGCCACTTTCAACTCTTGGGCTCAAACAATCCTCTTGCCTCAGTTTTTCTATTTTTAGTAGAGATCGGGTCTTGCTTTTGCTCAGGCTAGTCTTGAACTTGTGAGCTCAAGCAATCCACCTGCCTTAGCCTCCCAGATTGCTAGGATTACAGGCATGAGCCACCACCATGCCTGAAATTAACAAAACTCTTGCTAACACTTGCAGGTTTTTCCAGTTACCTTTTGAACTTTTTGGGGGTTATATGAGGTCTCTTTTCAATGAAGTGATATTGCCCCGTGAATGCTTGTCATCTTGAAGTGGCCAAAGTGTGTCTTCCCTAAGGTTCCTGTATTATAGGAGAAAAACAAAGAATTAAGTTAAATGAGCACCTGACTCTTTTTATTGGATAAATATGTCTGCACGTACTTTTTTTTATTTAGCCTACATAATCATAAAATATTTCACCAAATGCACTTATCGTTATTTC